GGGGAGGGAGCCCCCTCTCCCCCCCCCCCCCCCCCTTTCCTTCAATAAATATCTGCCTTGGGCCTCGGTAGTGCTGTCTTTGTCCCCATGCATACAGACAGCCAGCTCAGTGACATGGAGCGTGTTGAAAGTACAGACTCGGCATTCCTGAGTAAAAATCTTTGCCCAGACACTGTGCATGTGCTGAGTCACTGACCAACGCTGACTACACATTTTAAAGGCTCTGTGTCACTGAAGCGGCTCGGGAGTTATGACTGGCTGTGTGTTGTTCAAAGTGGCCAGGCAAAGAGCTCAGTAACATTGAGCTTGTGATTTTTTTTTACCACAGCCTCAGTTCTGCCCTCACTGTACCCAGTGGTGGATTCTGGTTTGGGGCTGCCCTAGGCAAGGTAAAACTTGGACGCCCCCCCCCCTAAATTTACCCCACCCTTTACTGTTTAATACTTTTTGCGTAACCCGTCAGTCGCTGGATACAGTGAACACGCTGTATCTAGCTTTTGACATGTTCCTAAAGCCCCCCTGAGACCCGGCAAAGCCCCCCACATATCCTGCTGAGACCCTGCAGGATCTCAGGGGGGCAGTGCAGGATTTGTGGTGGGCTTTGCAGCCTGCAGAGCCCCCTACGGATCCTGCAAAGCCCACCACAGATCATGCAAAGCCCCCCTGAGACCCGGCAAAGCCCCCCACATATCCTGCTGAGACCCTGCAGGATCTCAGGGGGGCAGTGCAGGATTTGTGGTGGGCTTTGCAGCCTGCAGAGCCCCCTACGGATCCTGCAAAGCCCACCAGATACCCTGCAAAGCCCCCCTGAGATCATGCACAGCCCCCACAGATCCTGCAGAGACTCCCTGAGACCCTGCATTCTGCTGGATCTTAGGGGGGCTGTGCAGGATCGGTGGTGGGCTTTGCAGGCTGCAGAGCCCACTACAGATCCAGCAAAGCCCCCCACAGATCCTACAGAGCCCACCAAAGGGTATAGCACAGCCCACCTGCGACTCTTTGGTGGGCCGTGCAGAATCTATGCTGGGCCCTGCCAGCACAGTCGTCCTCCTACATGGCACGGGAAGCCAAGCCTCCTCCGTGGCATTTTTGCCACCCCCCTGGAATCTGCCGCCCGAGGCAAACACCTTGTTTGCTTCGCGGCAGATAAGCCCCCCACTGTACCTCCTGAGGGCCATCTGAAGCCCCCACCTCAATTGGCATAATTGGTGTAACAGCCCTGCCAGTGGCAAATGCAGTTTGCCAGGAAAAGGCAGTGAAAGGTGTGGATGTACTTTTTACTGAAAGCTAGCTGTTCACAGGATGACTATCAAGACTTGAATAAGAAGCCATGCTAATTTAGTATCCATGACCTACTTAAGGAACAATCTCCAACAGACACCAAAAGGTGTGTAGCTATATTAAAAGAACACAGGATGTAATATGGATTTATAGTTTTTCCCTTCGTTCCATCCACATATAGAGATTGCAAGTTGAGAGAATAGTAAAACAGGATAAGCATTAGCATGTTTGTTTAGTTGCATTCAATATTCTGACTTGGAAAGAACAATTTCCTAAAATTAATTTTACCCCTGGACTTCTCCAAAATGGCCTGTACTCGGTTTGGTAACAATATGCTGATGCTAAGTGTAAATTATGAATAAAGTGAAAGCTGCTGCAATAAGGACAACTAAGCCAAATCATATGTATTTACAAATATGCAGCGCCAATCTTGTGAATGTGCCGAACTAAGTAATAACTATATGACATGTGTACCACTATTGGTCCATCGAACTGTATTCCAACCGTGATGAATGAAAATAAAACGATCAGTATGTATAGTTCACTATACACTTTTAAAATAATCTAGTGTCCCTGTATACTGCCTCCTATATACGTGTGAGCCTGACACGTATATAGGAGGCAGTATACAGGGGAGATTCTGGAGACACGCCGCCTGCTGGACACTGATTGGAAAAAGACACAGTGAGGACGTTGCGGCTCCGTGAGTTACTATACAAGCGCTTTCGGCTGCTTACCACAGCCATCAGATCACGGTGAGTGCACACTTTGAGGGGAGACGTACAGGACTCGCCTAAATCCCCAGCAAGTTTCACAGGATCGCCCACATCAACGCACGGATTGCGATAAATTTTGTTGCACCAGGAATGTTATAGGACTATATGGACTATTCACAGTGTTTTAACACTAATAGTAATATTTAAACGGTATATTGCGTGGGTACACTGCCCAGGATTATTGAATCACAGATACACAGGTGTATATACGAGTACGTAACTCATAATTTTGAAAGTGTATAGTGACCTATACATACTGATAGTTTATTTTCATTCATCACTCATCACGGTTGGAATACAGGTCGATGGACCATAACAATCTCCAACAGACACCAAAAGGTGTGTAGCTATATTAAAAGAACACAGGATGTAATATGGATTTATAGTTTTTCCCTTCGTTCCATCCACATATAGAGATTGCAAGTTGAGAGAATAGTAAAACAGGATAAGCATTAGCATGTTTGTTTAGTTGCATTCAATATTCTGACTTGGAAAGAACAATTTCCTAAAATTAATTTTACCCCTGGACTTCTCCAAAATGGCCTGTACTCGGTTTGGTAACAATATGCTGATGCTAAGTGTAAATTATGAATAAAGTGAAAGCTGCTGCAATAAGGACAACTAAGCCAAATCATATGTATTTACAAATATGCAGCGCCAATCTTGTGAATGTGCCGAACTAAGTAATAACTATATGACATGTGTACCACTATTGGTCCATCGAACTGTATTCCAACCGTGATGAATGAAAATAAAACGATCAGTATGTATAGTTCACTATACACTTTTAAAATAATCTAGTGTCCCTGTATACTGCCTCCTATATACGTGTGAGCCTGACACGTATATAGGAGGCAGTATACAGGGGAGATTCTGGAGACACGCCGCCTGCTGGACACTGATTGGAAAAAGACACAGTGAGGACGTTGCGGCTCCGTGAGTTACTATACAAGCGCTTTCGGCTGCTTACCACAGCCATCAGATCACGGTGAGTGCACACTTTGAGGGGAGACGTACAGGACTCGCCTAAATCCCCAGCAAGTTTCACAGGATCGCCCACATCAACGCACGGATTGCGATAAATTTTGTTGCACCAGGAATGTTATAGGACTATATGGACTATTCACAGTGTTTTAACACTAATAGTAATATTTAAACGGTATATTGCGTGGGTACACTGCCCAGGATTATTGAATCACAGATACACAGGTGTATATACGAGTACGTAACTCATAATTTTGAAAGTGTATAGTGACCTATACATACTGATAGTTTATTTTCATTCATCACTCATCACGGTTGGAATACAGGTCGATGGACCAATAGTGGTACACATGTCATTTAGTTATTACTGCGGTACTTTGACATTTATTCAGGCGTGCAACACCATACCAAAATTAATTTTAGATTATTTTTTTGGGACAGGTAGAACATTCTTTTGGTGGTATTTAGCCTCCGCTGTGTTTAATTTTTTTACTATATTAAAGAGAGAAAAAAAGTACAAAAATGAAATAAAAATGGGTGGGTAAAATGTAAAAGATGGGGTCATGTCGGGTAAATAGACAGCAAAACATGTCAAGCCTTAACATTAGCCTTAAGAAGTAATAGAGGACTAGATAGTGGGCTCACTCCAGTCGACACAGCTAAAGTAATCACCGAGGTTAAAATAGTAGAAACAGTCAATATAGCAAATACATTGTCAGAAGTGAGTGCGTGGACTTGATGGACGTATGTCTTTATTCAACCCCAAATACTATGTAACTATGCAACATTGTGTCCACCCGCAAATGACTACCATACCCCAAATTGGCCATAGGCAAAGCTTTAATAGCTTTTACTGCTCATCAATTTAGTGTTAACAGTGATTTGATGGCCCTAGAATTAATTTGCTTCTGCATTCAGTAAACAGAGGGGATATCAGCAGGGGGAATGTGCTGCACTCCCCTCTGATTGAGCCAGAGACCCGCCATGTGGTTCCCGGGCCTGCACGAAGGGCAGAGGAGCCCAGGATAGCCGGCAGCGGGGGCAGAGGCAGACACTTCCCATACCATAAAAGCGATCGGGTGGCTCTCTAACCCGAACACTTGTATGTGTGTAAGGCTATAATTTGTCAAACTTTCCTACTCTTGACTGAAAGTGGGGGTGGTTTGGTGAGTGCGAGTGGAAAGGGCTTTATAAACACCAACCCGCCACTCAGCGTCCAGCAGTGTATTTATAATTGGTTGAACAGCAAGTGGTTAAGATGAGCAAGAGTGCATCTCTTTACATATGCAGATTCAAAACCCAATGCATCTACTTTGGAGTGGGCCATGGATGTGCATGAGATATAGTGGCCCGTCTCTGCAGACACTAACACACATGTGCAGAATATTGCAGTCATATTTTTGACATCACATTATGGCAGTGGTATTCAGTACAAGCTCAGTAGCTACCTCAGATATTGTACACTACCACACAAGTGCTACATATTATACATACAGTACATATACATACATTGAGTGGCCAGTTTATTATGACCACCTGACGTTTGTAGGCAAATTAGCTATAATTTCGCGCTGAAGTTGCTAGAGGGCCAGAGCATTATAAATAGGGAAGCAGGTTGTTTACCACGACAGTAGAAGTGATTTTTTTTTTCTTAGGATATGGGTAAACAACGCGATTTAACAGCCTTTGAATGTGGGATGATTGTTGGCGCGAGCCATGGAGCGAGTATCAGAAAAACAGCGGAATTCGATAAATGTTCAAGAGCAGCTGTTCTTAAAGTGTTTAAAGACTGGACTGTCAGCCGAAAATCTGGGTCTGAACGTGCGAATTGTGGCCGTCAGCGACTAGTCAATGTTAGGGCAGAATGGAGAGTGGCAAGACTGGTACAAGACAACAGAAGGGCAACAGTGCAGTGTCAGATTCCTCGCATTACCTTTCAACATCTCGTGGAGTCACGAGGCGGCCCAACTAAGTCATTTTGTGGAGTTATCTCGTGGCCCGAAGTACTGTTGGGGTGGTCATAATAATCTGGCCACTCAGTGTATATTTTATACATACACAGGGGTGTGGAATTCGTATCGCCCGGCGCCCGGGACATGTAGTTCCGGGCACGTGGTTTTTGCACTGTTTTAGCCCTGCTACGGACAAGTAGCAGGGCTGGCTTTCTTTGAGCGCCGAGAGCGCCGCTACGAGCGGGGGGCGTGGAGCGCCGATCCAGCGCGATCGGCAGTGGTGTGCGATCTGTGACTGCCCAGTCATCGTGCAGGAAACCGAGCGGATGGCTGGGTGGTCACGGAATCGCACACCACCGCCGATCGTGCTGTCATTGCCATTATTTTCTAATGGCACCCCAGTCATGCCAGGCAGATTGCGCGTTTTCCTACTGCAATACCGCTGCGGGCGATCACGGTTGAAAACACTGCGAGGTGCATGTCGTGCAGGTGGCCGATATGTCTTTGCATCCTTAGTATTTTAGCTTCAAAAAATTGGATTTTTGCACTGAACGTCAAATCCTTTTCTCTGCATTCATTGAAGTACACAGCCAACTGCAGGCGTAAACAAAGAAACAGTCCAGGGGCAGCCCCCTGCCAGTGGCAAACCCCTCATATGATAGGACAGCCTCAGTAAGTAGCAAATAGTGAACATCTCAATACACAAAAAGGCAACAACTAATCGGTTAGGGGGGCTGTGTCCTTCAATGAGTGCAAAGAAAATAATTTTAGTTTCATTGTCACAGGTCGGCTCAGATTATGAGGCTGAGTGAAACTCACTCGCCTCATAATTCTCCTTTAAGCGTTACTGTCACACTTGGGGACAGCGACATATTTTGAACGCCGTTATGAGGGGGGTTAAATAAAAAAGTAACCCCTTGGGGGGGAAAACAAATCTCAGCTGCAGATTCATTGTAAGGAATTCATTTTTGATAATAGTATAACAATATATTTATACATAATTTTTAGTTAATTTTTTAACACTTTACACTTTTTTTGTCAATTATATCGAGCAGTCACTATGACTGATAATTTGAGTCATTTAAAAAAAAAAAATGGATTATTATTAGGTTGTTCCAAACTTAGGCACAGCCAATAATAAACTTAGTGACTGATCTTGACAGCATGACAGGATCAGATCTCACTAAAGGCTGCTGATCGTTCCCAGACAATCAAAAGTAGGATACAATGTTTCATAGAAATATATTGTTACATGTTGAAGAACGTATTGAAGAAAGTATTGTAACAAAACAGCCTGTAAACATCAGGGAAGTGCGATCTGTAAAGAGCTGTCAAAACTGAAATAGCACAGCATTTAGTACTTGTTCTTCTTATCTGCTATTTCAGCTGTCAAATACCAGATCGCTGATAGCGCTCCAGTATTTGTAACAGCTTCATTCATTGATGAAAGAAAGAAGCTTTTACAAAAACTTAACTATTTCATTAATGAATACCTCAATACTGAGGCATCCATTATTGAACGGTAACTGCTGATTCTCAGTGGTTACCAGCACGTCAAAGCCCTAAATAGCTGCACACGTACAGTGAACGTGAGCAGTCATTTCAGCACTTCACGATGGAGACGTACAGTGAACGTCTCCAGTCACAAATGTGTTAAAGGTTTTGTTTTTTTCGCCATTTAAATCTCTTTGATGGATCAACATGATTTAAAATAAATTGAGCTTACGGTGTCTATAGGCATGTCAATGCTATAGGCAATGTGATTGGGGATGGACTCTAGCGACATGCATGCATATGACGTTTCTGTACTTTCCCTTTGACCTCTATTTGAAAAGAGATGTGAAAGTAAAGTCACAGCAATGGTATCCTCATTACCTGCTGCTGGGGTATGCGACAACAAGATACTATTCTGGATTTTTTTTAACCTAGAAATGTGGGTACTTAACAGTGTGTAGGAGAATACAATATGAAATCTCCATAAGGTGCCATTGGGCATGTAACTTATGTTGACTGTCCCACACCCTCCCTGTTCCTTACATGGTCAAATATGTAAGATTAAGATGCTTGAAATTTAAAATCAGGAGTAAAAACAGTTATGTGTTTACTGCATACAATGGCGGCCGGTGGCAAAAATACTAGGTATTCTCTGATTGTACGAGAGGTGAAGCCAAAAAATACTAGGAGCGGTTTGAATGGCCTCTGTGATTTAACAACAGAGGGAAGTCACTAAGCGACTATCAGACCTAAAAGATTGATGTAAATCAACCCCCGTGGCCTTTTCAGGAGATATATATATATATATATCTATATACAGTGGGGCAAAAAAGTATTGGCTGACTAAATACTTTTTTGCCCCACTGTATGTATATATATTAGTGCAATATAAATGGGTAAGCCATATAAGTCCAGTAGACAAGACGTCAAAAAAAACAAAAACGCAGTATTGCAATGTGCAATGATACCTTTCTTATTGGACTAACAAAATATATAAAAGACAAACTTTCGAGAGTGCACCTCTCTTCTTCAGGTCAGAAGCAAAGAAAATAATTTTTGTTTCATTGTCACAGGTCGGCTTCTAGGTTTGAGTAAATTGCAGAATTCTGACCAAAATATATGAATGTATACAAATCCAAACTGTGAAGAATTACACAGTGGATGATTATTGTTATACTAGGCAGATCCGACAGAAAATATTCAGGCGAGCGAAAAAGTTACTTATTTTTTTCATACAGATCTGCCAGATAAAACATTACGTTGATTTTAATAATCTTTAAAAGCCATTTTCAGCAAAAACACGTGCTAATTATTGAATGATTAGTCTTATAAAATATAATATTTAATTTTGTTATTAACTTGGGTGTGAAGCAGGGTAGTTTCCCATATTCTGTGGTACATCAATGATACAATAAAGTGTAGATTGATTTATGACCTACCTTAACTTTGACCAGCCTTTTTGTGGACTTTATCTTGGCTTCACAGAAAGCACCTCTGTATTTAGCACTTACTTCTGTACCAACCGACAGGTAAGGACGCTCATCTAAAGACTGTTAAAAAGATTTTAAAACTATTAATAATAAATAGCTTAAAACATATTTTTAAATGGCCGAAATATTTGTATCTTTAAAAGCAGAATAACATAAAACCAGAAAATAGCAGCATAACAACACTACAGTGGTGCTCAATGCAGTTCCGGGCGCCGGGTGGGTAGTTATATTCTACATTTAGCCCTGCTGCGGGCTAGCAGAGCTAAATGCTGAGCAGGGAAGCCACCGCTCATTTAGTACAAGTGATCTAAGATACACTTTTATAAAATGAGCAGCCGTCTTGTCCGCCCCCCGCAGCTTAGTTTTTGGGGTCCCCTACTCTCCAGGGGACCCGGGACCACAGCAAACATTTCAAAATGGAGAGCGGGGAGCAGAGTGAAGAACGTCCGTTCTCCGCTCTGTGTGATCAGTGAGACGGGACTGCTGTACTCACAGCACCCCCTATCTCAGCTGTCACAAGCTGCACAAAATCGAGCACAATGCAGTTGCTTGATATTCTGTGTGGAGGGCAGATTCTATAAGGAAAATCTGTCACCTCCAAACACTATTACATAGGGGCTTGTTATCCCATGTGTGATAGCAATAAAAGGTAGGTGGAAAAGAAAAAAGAAAAAAAAAGTAAAAAAATAAAAGTAAATTAAAAAAGTGATAAAAGTAAAAACAAAATATTAAAATGATTAAAACTGGACAAAAACAGTGAAAAAATAATAACATAAAAATTGTGATTTTTAAAGTGATTAAAAAGTAAAGAATAAAATAAAAAGTGATAACGTAAAAAACAATAAAAGAAAAGAAAAAAAAAATAGAACCACCCCCCCCCCCGCCTCCACCTGCATGTGACTAAGCAGTGCTCTCTAACACGCACAATGTGCATTAAAGGGTAAATTCACTTTCTCAATTAATTAGGGAAAACCTAAGTTAGGTACCTGATAACTTATAAGTCCAAGTAGTACCAGAGAAACCTACTAAAGCTTTGTCAGGTTAAGAAGCCAACTTCTATCCTATGGATGAAACAGGATAAAAAGGAGGGACGCCAACCCTCTATTGATATACATGCCAAATTATGCCACGAGTGTGTCTGTACACACTCAGTCATCACCTGGCTAAGATACAATGGATTAAGGCCTCTCAGGAAGGAAGGCATACATACATACATACCTATGTGTACACTCACACCCAGACACCAAGAAGGTGCAGAGTTGTTTGAGATTTGTCTAGGACAGCTGTACTTAGGCTCTTGATCAAAGCCCGTCAATTCCAGGACTTCTGACCTTTACAGAAGCCAAGGGCTCACTGGGTAAGTTAGTTCTACCTGGCCAGTTAACCCCTACGTTTAAAAATTAACTTCATCATTCCCAGATTTTATAGTTGATTGCGCCAACGAATGCACTCACAATCTCAAGAGTTAAAACATATGTCAAATGGCAACCAATATTAACAGGGTGTTTACCCCTTCATTGCATGTGCTCGCAGCACCCTGTCTTTCCCAACAAAGAAAAACAGTGCAGCATTTTTGTAGACATTACTTGGCCTGACCTGTACTGCAAAGTGCCACGAGGCAAGACGAAGCAACTGTGAGATCAAATAAATGTCACGTGGCTGGCCTATGATCCTAAGGTTTGACACTCCTCCGATACTATAGGCAGAATAGAGAAGCTGATGTATGTAGAAAACCCAAGCAGGTCGCCACTTCGAAATACTGACCTGTTGGGGGTAAAAACACCCGCCCATTCCTAAACGATGCCTAGATTACATGGGTGCAGGCACAACCATAAACCCTGAAGTATGCAGCCTGTCTCTGCAGTGATCTGGTATATCATGGCTTGTCCATATCTGCTGCATTCGGGTGTGTGCCCGGAATAGTTTCAAATCACACCTCCATGTTCGATTTCAGTGCTCCACAAAAATAATCTGACAAAAAACACACAGCTTGTGATTGTACCAAATAAAATTTCTCTAAAATCGTGTGTCTGAGCATGCTAAATGCCTTCTGAATTCAGAGAGCAGCCAGTATTCCTGCGCCATTCCTCCGCAGGACGAATACATAAACGTACAGGTGTGAACCAGGCCTAAAGGAGCTATGGAAGAGTCCCATAACCCTTCTCAGCACTCCATCCTTATTCAAGTGGGATAAAGCTAAAGCATATCCGCTTACATGTTCGGTTTTAACCGTCGAGGGAAAAAAAGGGCCTCCAGAGATAAGGTAAAACCAATATAGGTAACAGTGCTGCCCCAGAGGTAGGAACCCCAAGCATGTCTGGAGGTGTCCACCAGCGCTGTTAGAATGGTCAATCACCTGTGTAGCCAATCCACCCAGGTGAATTGAAATTCTCTGGACAAAAACTCCCTAGTAGCGATATAACCCTATTACTCCTGCCAAAGGTAGCACAGGCTTCAGCTATAGTATAGATGCTGTACAAGGATCTCCATGCGTTGGTTCTCATCACAGCAACAGGGCTATGGTATACACAATTATTCGATTATTATTATAATTATTCGACACTCACCCCCAGGTAAAATGGCCTATCTGCAAAGCCTGTAAATTACACCTTTGTCTGCCTCTCCAGGTAAAATGGGGTGATTCAGTCTCCACTCCAATACCTCCTCTGCCCAGTACATTGTCTGCAGGCACAAGAACATGACTGAGCCCCTCCAAAGCACAGCGCAATACCTCCACCAGAGTGTTGGCCCTGCAAGAATACCTTCCAGTACAAGGTGTACATTAGAGGGGAGAGCGCAGCCAAAGTCCAGAAAAAGCAGGTGAACAGCCAGGCTGTCCTAAATAAGATACTGCCTGGATCCATCCCCAGTAACTGGGGAGCCAGATCCTGTCTGTGTGAGGGAGATATGACCATAAACACTCCCTCCCATGCATGCCCCTCTTTGGCGATACACAGATCTGGCAGAAAAGCTGGGCCCGGAAAGAAAAACAATTTGTCAATGCAGAAAGCACTCTTAGGGTGTTTTGGCTTCTGCTGGCAGGGGCTTATCCTCTGAGGCCTATACTTATGCCAAAAAAGGGAAGGGCTCAGAGCCTGCCACCCGAGACCAAGCTGCACCCCCCTGGAGAGAGACCGATTGGGAGGTGCATCAAGTAAGCCAACTACCCCTTGCCCCACCGAAGTAGGCCCCCAGAGCAAGAAGGGTACAGGTAGGGGGGACTTGTCAATTGTAGACCCGCCTACCTTGGAGCTGGCGCTTTGAAACCCCAGAATGGGAGAAGCAGCCTGTGATGAAGAGTCCAACGGTGTGCATCACCCTTCCAGTTTGGACTCACGCTCCTGCCCCACTCCTGGCGCCCCTGCTTGCCGATGTGGATTGTCGACAAAGCACATTATTCGTGTCCTGCTGTGATGCAGCTCTACTGCCGCCAGAGAGCCCATCAGGTCATCTGTCAATTCCTGTAGCACGACACTCCGGGGGACTCCATCTGGAGACACTACGCCAGCGAGGATGGTTGGCATCTCCTTCCATTATCGAGGGGAACCTCTGGGCAAAAATTTTTTGTAAGGACTCTGGGGGAATCAGTTCTGGGAAAAGTCCTGTGCCTGAGACCCTACAGGTCCACTGTCCTGCGAGTGAGAGCAGCATGCCTCAGGAGGCCCCTGCTATCTAGCATGATAGGCCTGGAGTAAAATAACAAACGTTGCGATGCTCCTGTTCGGCCGGAGGAAACACAAAATACTGAGGTGGTTAGGAGGGCCCGCCCTTTTTATTCTAATTGTGGATGATGCGTTTCAGGTGGGAGGATCCCATCTCTCAGAGGCTGCCCTGGACGATGACTGGGGAAAATATAATTACCCACTCATTTTTGAGCCTGATAAAGGGGACCCTACGTGGCCACGAATGCACTGATCGTTATGACAACTATTAATAAAATGAATTTGTACTGACGTGGAATTTTCATGCTGATGACATGTTAATATCTGTATTCTGAGCGGCGCTTGTTTGTATGTGGACACTGCAGTCTATGCAAGTTTGTGGAAAATGCAAAACTGTTTTGAAATTCCCTACATAATAAAGTAGCACTAAAGGTTTGGTGTTTCTTTTACCTTTGCATTGAGTTTAAAAACACCAAGTACCTTTCTATTGTCCCTGCTGCCGCTCATCTTCTCCGCCAGGACCAGGAAGATAGTCAACATTCCCTGAACTTCCTGATCCAGGGGGAAGGTACGGAGGGTAGCCTTCAGGCTCCTTCTGCCATCAGTCAAATTATGACTCTGCAAGTGGGGGGCGTGGATTGCCGCTCACTGTGTGTGTCCCTGGACACACAGATAGGTGCAGCCACAGCTGGGAGCGAGCACACACGGGTGTCTTCTCATCAGCTGGATAGCCGATAGAGGCATCCGCACAGCACAGGGTGGAAGGGGGCAAGGGGATACCTATAAAATGACGGAATTAAAACGTGTAAAGAAAAAAATAAGGTTTAATATCACTTTAAATCTTATGTATGTGGTGTGGTATATGTTATCAAATGTCCTTGCGCAAAAATGTATGTAGTCAAGACAAAACGTAAACTCAGAGTATGCATGTGTTAACATTTCTGTGATATATTGTCACAGAAAGAAACAAGCCCATTGGCAGAATTTTTTTGAATCCATCAGTGCCAGAGCACAATGAAAAACAGACAAGCACAAGGTGCTACTTAAAAATACTTTAAGAAAAGTGTCCGTAGGAGCAAACAAAAATCATAAACAGGAACAAGCCAAGGTCAAGAGCCGGAGTGGGTAGTCATACAAGCCAGGTCTGGAACACAGAAATCAGCGTTGTCAGGAACAAGCCAGGAGCAGCAACCAGAGGAGAACGGCAGCAAGGATCGGGTCATACATGGAATCAGGATACACTGACCAGCAGGAATGCATTAGCAGGTAAAAACATGCACGGACAAGGTCAGACTGGACTGAGTGGTTTATATAGTGAGTGGGGTGACATCACTCAGTCAGGAAACTCCCATCTGGCTCTCTCATATGTTCCCTGTTTGGCCATAAGAGGGAGCCTGG